AGGGAAAGACAGCGATTTCCCCAGAGCACAGGTGTGGGTAGGTAGGGTTTTCTGTGTGTTAACTCATGTGGGAAGAGGAAACCTTTATTACTTGTCTCAAATGTTCAGGGTATGTGCTAGGGAGGGACTATCACCTGATATACAGACATATTCTGTGCTGTTTGATTAAGGGGCTCAGTCACTTCTTTAAGAGAAGCTTCCTGTTCAGAGAAGAAAGAAGAATATGGGGAAAGACATGCCAAAATTTAGGACATTCTTTAAAATATGGGTTCAGCTTGGTTTGTCTCCTCTAGTGCAATAAGCATACTTAGTAATTTCCACTACCCCTCTTCTTTGGCAAGGTGTTTGAAATTGCAAAGGTGGTGAGCGGAAGCTAATAAAATTCTATACCTACAATTGTATGGCTTTTATGAAACAAAGACTGGACTGTATCTGTATCTTTCACTTACAGTTCTTCATCCCCACCTTTTGGGAGACACTGTAGCAACATTCTCCTGTGAATGGGTAAAAAGAAAACACTCAAACCCTCTTCTGTTCCACTCTAACTGTATCTGTCATCATAGAAAGAGCTGTGCAGAAATGTATGTAAACTTGATTTTTCTAATAAGCATAACTGAATTTGGCCACCTACATGCAATGGGACAATGAAAAGCTGATGTCATTTAGTATTTTTGTAAGGCTACATTCCCATCAGTCTGCACAATCCTGCCCTTAGATAGGATTTGGTGACTCATTTAATGTGGTTACAACAAGGTCTGAAAGCTTAGCAGCATAATCCTCCTTCTAGGAGGTAATACTTTGCTCATTTTAACATCCTCATCTTGCAACCTTCTGGAATACATGTTCCAGAAGAAAAATAAAACTTAAATTCAATTTGATGCAACTCCTGTATCTGTGAGAATTAGATTAATTTCTGTGAAGTTCTTCTCATTTCAGTGCATACATGGACACAAAATTGTCAGTAATGTTTTAATCCCATAGTAACTGCACAAAGAGCAGACATCTGAATATACAATCATTACCACTGTGCAAAGTTTTGTCACAAGAAAGCTGCATGAAAAGACAGAGCAAATGATTCATAGCCAGCAAGAAGTCACTTCTGTGTCCTTTTGAACAGTAACATAAAAGCAGCATTTGAAATAAAAATCAGTCACTGATGCATTTTTTCTTAAACTGTCAATGTAAAAAATTCCCCTTCATAGTAAAACTCCAAGGGCTTATACATCTCCTCTACATTTGAAATTTCATTTCTGATGTGTGTACTAAACAGAAACTTGAAAAAGTAGAGAGAAATAAAATACCTTCTAGGACAATTGTGCAAATACTTTAAATACTGGAAAAGGTATTTTATGATGGTCTGTGTATGAATGGCGTCTTGCTGCTTTACTGCTAGCTATCAGTACTTTTCAACTTTGCTACAATTGTTACAGAACTTTGTTTTGAAATTCTTTCTTCTAGTTTTTAATTTCATAAAAGAATACTCCTGAGGAAAGATTATTTTAGTGCAGCTCCTTTTCTCATAGCTCCTTTTCTGGTTATTTAAGAATGGTTTTATTTAAAATGGGGGTATTTATACAAAATCTTTTATACAACTGTCATGCCATCCTTTCCAACATTGAAGGGAGATCAGTTCACTCTAACACTGTTAATTTCTGGAATAACTAGATACCCCAAGGAAGGATTAGATACTTAAACGTCCTTTTAAATTGAATTCCACTACCCCAGTGAAAAGCTCTTTCCAGTATCTCAGATCTAAGGATGTATAAAGGACAGAGACTGAGCTGCTGGCCATAAGGACTAAATAAGCACCTACAAACAGCCTATCAGATGGATAAAGACAAGCTTTTTAGGTTTTTGAGACAACTTGATTAAGCATGGCTTTTATTTCTGGTTTATCTCTTTGAAATCTTCCTGTCCTGCCTAGACTGGAATTGCCAAATAAGCACTTTTAATTGCTTTTACTATAACTTCTTTTGAGTTGGGGGTATATAGAAAATTGATTGACATAAAACATATTCCTGATAACTTTTATGACACTTAAAAACAAGGTACAAGACACTATTAATGCCCAGACCCTCAACACATTGCTCCAAGTTATCTGAAAAAAACATGCCAGCTGGTTTGAGAGCTTGGACAGAAAGTCCTCTCTACAGTGGGACAGGAGTGCTCCCCTGAACTGAGAAAGTTATCTGGCATACAGCAGGACATGGGGGTATACTGTACAACCCTCCAATGTCTGGGAGTGAGAACTGTATGCACTACATGTAACAGCCTCGCTGAACCTCTGAAAGAACTAACAGTTGAGTCATACTGTAATAAACACCATGGAGATTACTAAATACAACCACTAGATGAGTTGCTGAAGTTTCATATAGCAGTCAACTAAAAAAAAACAAACAACCCAAAAAACAAACAAGGAAACAGGAAAGAATAAAGAGAGAGAAAATGGGGTCAGAGGAGGGGGAAGACCTACCTTCGCAGTTCTTGGAAGTTGAATTATATGTGTAGCCCTCTGCACATTCACAATTGTATTTCCCCAAGGTGTTTTTACAGATGGCTGTCCCACAGATGTTTGGATGTAACACACATTCATTTATATCTGAAAAAACAAACAAGTTCTTAAAAATAAGTCACACTCTTGCATACAATTTTTTCCTAACCCTATCCAAAAGTGTGCAAACTGAGTGAGGCTGGCAAACTGGCTCCTTCTTGTTAGGTTTACCATGGTTTCAGAGGAGTCTATAGCTATAGCCATAAAGACTTCCAGAGGTCTCTAAAAGGCACTTCTGAACACCTTCAGCAAAAGATGAATTCTCATTCCCTCATGTGTTTTGTGGATAACAGGAAACAGGATGCATCTCCAGGAAGGCAGAGAGAGAAAACAGTCTGCCCAACTCCCTGTAAGCTAAACCAGACTGCATAATAAAATCTTACCTTAGAAAAAGACATCCAGAAAGACAAGAGATAATCCTATCAGTGTTTCTTACATGCTACAGTCAATTTATGTCACAATCATCTTTTAATTGGCTATGATGACAGATGCTCAAGTCTCTCACTGTCTCATCATACCTCAAACTACTATTTTAGTGTCCATCTTCTGTGTTGTTTCCAATTTTTCAATGTCATTTTCAAAACGCAGATTTGACAACTGAAGACTGTATAATATCAACCTCACTAAATGTCTAGTAGACAGGAAAATACCAAATCCCTGGTAGTACTTCAGTTCTCACTAGGACTCCCAAAACATTTTTTTAAGTCAAAGCTGTCATGAATTTGGCCTTTTCTACAGTTATTTCATGTACTGCAATTTCCTAGCTGTATTTTTGTAGTTGGATGTAATCAAGCACTTAAATCCAGTTTATCCAATTACTAAAGTAGTACTCTAGGTACTAAGGTGTATTATTAGTATTTTTATATTTGGTTACTTTTTTAACCAACTCTTCCAGTACCTTTTTAAGAATTACAGAGATTCTAAACAACTTACCTTTTTGTCCTTTTTGACAAAACAGCAATCTTCATTTCTTCTCAAATATCTTTGGAAATTACTCATTCAAAAAAACCCCAAACAACAGACTAAAGGAAGTGACAGCAGGAGATGGCCCTCAAGTCTTGTCTCTTATAGTATTTGACATTATCCAAAACTGTTAGAATAGTTCAGTAACAAAATATATGACACTGAAATGGAATGAGGCTGTGTTTTTTTTTTTAATCAGGCAGTAAGAATTGCTAATTGTGCTAATTCTCAACACACTACTTCAAGTTATCTGGAAGAAACATGCTAGCTGGTTTCAGAACATGGTCATGAGGTCATGAACAGAATGAAGCAGGTCATGGCAAATAACGACAGATACAAGTATGTGCAGAAAAAAATTATACTGGGTAGGAGACTTTCCCTCCATTAAGAGCAATTTCAGAATCATTAATCACAGAATCATAAAATGGTTTCTTATCCAATGAACTTCAAATTCCCAAAAGAGCAGCATCACTAATTAGGAGTGATTCAGCCTAAACCAGTGATCACCAGACATGATTTCCATGGTAACAAAGCTGGTTGAACCATTCTAGACTCTTGTTTCAGCATGCTTAAAGGGTATATAAAACCAAAAGAAGCTTTACAGAGCTCTAGCAAGGAAACAGAATTTAATACTTAGTCTCTTCCTTACTTTTTTTTTTTTTCCTTTTTCTTTTCTTTTTTTTCCTGAATTGGCTTCAAGCTCAACTCAGTTCCTTGATCTAGTTCACTATACAGCTGCACAAAAGCTTGCAATGGAGTAAGGCTGCATGTGGAATGAGTAGCCAAGTTGAAGCAGGACTGCATCTTCAGAAGCTACTCAATCTTCTGCTGACTTACAGTGTTTATGGAACTACTAGATAAATTCTTTCCTCTCTAGTCAACAGGCAATGTACTGCCATATAATGATGCCCACTCTCCTACCTCCACAATCCCATTTATTTGAATGCATGAAGTAGCCATCTTCACATAAACAACGGTAGCTTCCAGGTAAATTAGAACAGCGTTGGCTACAACCTCCATTGAAATCTTCACATTCATTTATATCTAGAAGGAAAACAAAATTTAAAAATCATTGCTCAGGTGGGTGTATGTAAATGTCTGATACTATTCAAAAACAGTAGAGCTATAATTGTGTTCCCAAGAACTAACATCGTAATGACATTAGAGACTATACCTTCTTCACATTTCTCTCCTTGCCATCCTGGTTTACAGACGCATGTATATCTGGCTTGTCCATCTATACAATCTTTATATCCATCTTTATGGCAGGGCAGTGGGCTACACTGGTTTGAAATTTCTGTGGGATGGAAACATTGGAAATACTTGTTATTTGGGCTTATTTCTCTCAAGAATCAGTTTAGTCTTTCTTATTGTCTTCCCACAGGTATATTTCACCTCTAATTAAGTAGGAAAAGGCTTGATGCATAACATCAAGTACCCTACAACCATCTTGCTATTAATTCTGTCACCAAGAATTTGCTAGTGACTGAGAAAATAACAAAGCCACGAGTACTTTGTCAGAAAGAAAACAACTAGAAAACATATTACTCACTAAGCCAGCTTAACCCCAGCAAGAGATGACCAAACAGGCTTGATACTATTTTAATTACATTTTAAGGATGTATTTCACCTTCTAATTAACAGTGCTGTGTCCCATCATATTACCACAAATTTCACGAGAAATATCAAAGTTTGAAGAATACCAAGAATTCAGGAGTAAAGAGATCTAGTTTTTTCTGTTAAAGGAGGGTCACATTTAATGAGAAACTAACACCTCAGCTTGACTGTCCGGGTCCTGTGGGTAGACTAGATACATCAGTGTCTAATACTGTCACCTTTTACAAATATTTGTTTCAATGACAAATTTGGAAGGTAAAGAGCTATTGAGGACTTTATACATGCTGGCCAGACCTCAGAAAGCAAGACTTTAAATATAAAGATTGGGGCAGAGAACACGGAATTCACTGCCTTTTTGCTCTAACCAAAATATAGAAAGTTATTTTAGCTTTTCTCATAATTTTACATCCACATACTACATAAGGCACCATTCTCTATCTTCTAAATATGCTGGTAGCTTTATGGTTTATTTTTCTGCAAGTCTTGAAATATTACAAATACAATGTGTTTCTACTTTAAAGTTATGTTCTTGTAAAGCTCTGGAATGTCATTCAGAAGCATGCTTTTATTTAAACAAACAAAGGCAAAAAAAAACAAGAGTCACAAAAGAATAGGCAGCAGAATGAAAAGAGGTGCTGGAGCATCTCTCCTATAAAGACAAGCTGAGAGAGTTGGGGTTGTTCAGCCTGGAGAAGAGAAGACTCTAGGGGTACCTTATAGCAACGTTCCAATATCTCAAAGGGGCCTATAAGAAGGCTGGGGAAGACCTGTTCACAAGGGCATGTAAAGATAGGACAAGGGGTAATGGTTTAAGCTAGAGAAGGGTAGGTTTAGGTTGCACATTGGGAAAAAAGATTCTTTACTATGGGGGTGGTGGATCACTGGAATAGGTTGACTAGAGAGGTGGTGGAGGCCCCATCCCTGTAGACATTCAAGGTCAGGCTTCATGGGGCTCTGAGAAATCCAGTCGAGTTGGAGATGTCCCTGCTGATTGTAGGAGGGTTGGACTAGATGACTTTTATAGGTCCTTTCCAACCCAAGACATTCTATGATTCTAAGTTCAGATTCAAAAAGTTGAATGAAAGGCAATGTTCCTGAAGACCAAAACTTGCTATGATTCTGTACCTGAGGTCTCACTGGATTTCTCAGATGTTTCGCACTTCACCCAAAACAACTAAAGAACTGAGCCCCATAGAAGGCTTAGCTTTCTGTGACTAAGAAAGCTTAACATATTCTATGATAGTATATTTTCCAGTTACATCTATCTATAATTAAATTCTGCTGCAAGTAAATCCAAACCCCAAGCCAAACTCCAAAATTATACAGCATATATGGAACATGCATGGCATTTCATGTAACATTCATATTGCAGACCAAAGGACTCCAGTTGCAGATGAACACTGACAGAAGAAGTAGCGCAGAAGAAATAAAAAGAATGGGTTATGTTTGGATCCATCGCAGCAGTTTCCAAATATAAGTCCTAGAACTCCCTAATTTTGTATATATATATTTTATTATTTTAATTTTCTGCATTTGTAGGTCCAGGAAAAAGGTGTGTGAACTAAGTTTGGTATGAGCAAAACATTTCCTAAGTGATACATGTGAAAGTCAAATGTTTTTGAGCAAAAGGCAGGGATGGCTTGTGAGAGTCTGAATTGAGAGAAGTCTGGGTTGGCAGTGTGAAAAAAAGTAGAAGGAATTAGGTGAATTAAGGATACAAAGGGAAAATTCAGAAAACCAATGAATGAAGAAAGGAGAACTGGAGACTAGAGGAAGAAGACATGACAGGATGGATAGGAATGGCTGGAGAAAGTGGCTATGTCCACAGATGAATGATTAAGATGTCACTGCAGGAACAGTAATGTATCAGCCATTTGCTCCAAAAGTGCACCTGGAGCTCCTCTTTTCCCAATTTAGGGCACCTTCTGACCTACTACCCAGCAATGTTTTTCTGATAAAATGTTTGTGACAACAACTAAACATTAGAAAACGTACTCAGCCTGCAATAGAAAGAGTAGATGGTAAGAAGTGGATTATGACACCTGTAGCCTCTGCCACTCAGAGGCATTGGTAACGATGACATGTGTCGTGGTGAGCTGGACAGATGTAAATGCAGGGATTTTTAAGTGTTCTTTTCAAAAGCAATTATGCATGCAGATTTATGGGATACAGATATTTAGGGACTTAAAATGCATCTTAGACACCTGTTTGGATTAGAAAGGTATAAAAAAGGGCCTTTTATTCCTGTGAAAATTTGTTTTCCTTCCTAGATGGGGATTTAAAAAGTCAATATATTAAAAAATTCTTATAATTGCTTATCCAGAAATGTGTGTCCTTAAATGGTAGTTCACTTGTGTTCTGAAATAAGTAATTTAGACAGACCAGAAAACACTAAAATTATCTTCCAATTTGTTTGCACTGGTACTTTTATTCTTGATTTTTTTCAGCTTGAGATTCAAACTAGCTTCTGTATTATTAAAAACATATTATAATTCTTATAATTATTTAATTATTTCTAATTAGGAAAACTGAATTTTTCCTTTTGATAATATCAAAACAATTTGGATCAGTAAGTTCAGAAAGACAAAACTTTAAAAATAAAAATCCCTTGGTATCAGTATCACAAAATCTAACAACAAAACAGAACATAATAAAAATGTTGTGTTGTTCTAATGGGAATTTTAGATTCTGCTTTCTCAGCAGTAGATCCTTTCCAGAAATGTCCATAAATTTTGTTGAACATTTATGCTTTAGAAACACTTGAAAATGTTACATTATACAGAGTATACTCTCTGTACTTCTTTCTCCTGGTGACTGACCAATAGTAACAGTTTATTTAAATTGATTTTACATAGTATGAAGTAAACTAGATTTTTTCACTGAGTAATACATAAACACTGCATATTAACACAATTCTGCTAAATCTTTCCTCCCAGGACCTCTAATGAGAGTCAGAGTTATATGAATGGGAATACATTTTAGTTTGTGACAGCAGTCATGTTGGCCAAGTGATCTGGAAAATATGTTCACCTGTTACCCTGTGCAGTGTAATTATTAAGGATTCTGTTTTCAATGACAAACTCAGTGTCAGACGGTTAAGTATCCCTATTCAATCTAACTGAAAGCTGCTCTGATGTAACCAGGCTGTAACTGTTTAAGAGATTTAGAGAAATTTTTCAACTGTGAGGAGGGAATATGGTACAGATTGCTTCCTGTGCAATTACTAGAAAAAACACAATTCACACTAGACTTAAGAATTTATACACATAAAAAATAAAATATTTGAGCAACATCATAAGCTTCATGTTTTGTGATCTTATTGTGTCTGGAGTAAATTATTATGTCTTCCAGTTAATACTTGAATTTTTCAGCTGGTAATGTTACTCACTTCACAAAGGGCTACAATGTAACGGTGGGCCAAAGAGTGACACAAAGGAGAAGTGACCAGATGGTCTCTTCCCTTAACTGACAGAACATGACTTGATAGATGCAGAATCAGGCATAATTTTTAAATGCATGGTATGGTACAGAGGACATGCTAAGGAACAGTGGATTGGTGTAGGAAATTTCTATGTTTCTGGAAAAAAAAATCTGCTTTCCATGCTGCAGTTAATTACGTCTCTTTTCCAGCATGCTTTATAAAGTTAAGAACAGTCCCTGACACCACATGCTCAGGAAACACTCTGTCTCACCTAATACCTTTTGGTCAATTTCTGTTCCAGATTTTTGAGCTTGCCTGAGTTAAATGGAGATTTGTCTCTTTTTCTGCCTATGTGAACAGCTTTCCAGTCATGTACATGTGTGTTCTTAGATCTGCAGGCATTAGGTAAATATCCAACAGCAGCACTTACCACTGACACAAGCCCTCAGGTCAGCTGGAGAATCTGGAGTAACTGCAGTAACCCTGAAAATCCCTGCTCGATGAGAAGCAAGGCAACCTGCAAATGCAAACCCACACAATCTGCTTATGATACAAACACTCATTTAGACTGAAACGACAACAGCTTATGGCTGGCATCTTCAAAGAGTCTGTTCTCACAGCTTGAATCATAAAACTTGTCTGGGCATACTAAGGACAGCTGATCACAGAACAGCCTTCTGAGTGCCTCTGCCAGAATCTAAGCACACAGAACTTGCCTGGGAGCTACTATGTATTATAATCAGCATGGAAATAATTACGCACTATGGGCAGAAAAAACTAAACTGGTATTATCCAAATAAGAAGACTAGTTAATGATATTTTAGAGTTGTTCAGGCCTTTTTGTACTTACTTAAATATCTGGGATAAAAATACTCCTGTAGAAGGAAAAGAAAAATAAAGAGTAAGAAAAAAATAAGGTATATAGAATTACAGCAAAATATATCACTGAATATGTTCTAAAATATATTGGTATTAAAACTAAAAAAGAAGCAAAAAAGACTCATAGAATATAGAACAAGTTTTCTGTATCACTTGTTTAGGCTAAGACTATTTAATAAACACATGACTCAGTGGAGATTAAGATACTGCACTGAATGGGACACTTCCAAAGTAAAGTCAATGAAAATTAATTTCATGTCAAAATTACTTGAAAAATTGTCTTTTTAAAAGGAGGGATCTTGACCAATGTTGTTAATGGATGCAGAGCAGCCTCCTTTATTTCCTTTTTTCACTCATAAATAAACAAAGCACCCTGGAATAGGTTGAACATCTCATATGCAATTCACTCTACATAAAGTAAAAAGGGCTACCAAAACAGAAAGTTGTTTTAAAACAACTGATTATTGATTACTGAAAGTATTTAGTCTTAACAGTCCGTATACCTAAATACATGCAATGTTTTTCAAGAAAGAAACTGACGTAGTTTGCAAAAGAAATACTCATTTTATCCACACATATATTTTAATAAACCTTTAATAGTACAAAGCTAAATAAAATGAAATATACCTAATACTAAGTATATGTGCACTGCACATGAACCAAGGAACAGAGTTCTCCCCAGCTTGCAGTGATATATCCAGCCCCTTCATTGAAAGGGCCACACTACCATGCATCCTTTGTGTAAAATTTTAATTGAAGCCAACAGTTTGCCCACACGTAATGCTTATAGACAACTGTGGTCTTAAACTGGTGATTAAAATAATATCTACTCAATTATTCTCTTTGCTTACACAGTCTTCAATATTTATTATGAAAGCTGTATACACAAAAGAACTTCAAACTGGTTCTTGGTCTGCATGGTAGGGACTTTTTTTTAGTCTGAAGTCTGCAGACTTCTAGCTTTCAATCTGTAAAAAAATACCACTTATCTCATAATATGCATCAGATACTTACAGTTTCAGGATTATTTTCAAATACTTCCCTGGCTTCTTCCTTATTGCATAATTCTTCAATGCACTCTCTTTCTAAATTTCCCTTCTTACTTTCTTCCATGAAAGAATTTGCTCGACGTTTCCTCACCAGGAACTGAGAGGCATGCTGCTGGGATAAAACTTCATAGAAACAAAGGAGCTCTGTTGTTATTTATTTATTTGGCAGCTTAAAAACACCATAAGCACTGGGCAAATATAAGAACCTAATAAAAAAAATCAAATCTGAATGAAATGCTTAGTCAGGAGTTGCTGTTTGCAATAATTTTTGAAAATATGGGCAAAAAACCTTAGGATTGTTTTCTGTATGTGTGGGGGGGTAAACATTTCTAACAGAATAAAAACAATCCTGTGACACCAAAAAAAAAATGCAATGTTATGCCTGAAGCATAAGTTAAATGTCATCTGCAGAATAAGATATTTTTTTTTAAGCTATGGATATTCTAAAGTGAGATACACAACCAATAAGTGAAAAAATCTGTGAAGCTTTTTATATTACATATTTCAGTGATCTAAAAGGAAATATATTCTGATTCTATTTAATTTATGTGAGACAAATATGTGTCTTATAAACAGGTTATCTATTATATGTCATTAACATTAATGTTATTATATTTTTCAGAACTGTAAATATCAAGACAAAGTAAAAGGTGAGAATGATATTCTGAGAAATATCAAGGCAGACAACCTAAAAAGACATTGACATTTTAACAAGACAAAATGCAACCCTAGTTAACTTTCATACTCCAAATCCATCACGTTATGTGTCATTACTTAATTTTCATGTATCTTGTTACTGTCATTTTACTGACTTTTACATAAATGGAGAACAAATTAATGAGTTGAGAAATATTAAAAATGAAAGATGTCTGTTTGCTTTGATGTTCTTTGTAGAGCACACAACACTACAGGAAAAGAAACCAAATTAGGCTGCCTCATTAGTTTAATTTTTGTACATACCTTGTGATTAAGAGAAAACTGGATAAGCATAATTGGGAAAAGTCCAGCTCAGTGTTAAAGAGCACCACTGACACATGTTAAATAGAGAACACCACACTTCTACACCTGTCCTTCTTTTATCAGCCTTTGCATAACTTAATCTCTCAGACTAGCACAACTGTGTGAGGGTCATGACACCTGGAGTGCAAACCAGAAATGGTGTATATACATATTCACCAGTAGTCTACAAAGAAGACTAATTCAAGCAAAGTCAATTCAGTACTGTTTGTGTACGTATAATACCTCAAAACCAGAGTGCCTTCATAGGACATGCCAAAAACCAAGTGTCACAGTGAACAGGAATGAAAAAAACTTAGAAGGCTTATTAGAACAAGCAGCTAATGAGACCCAGAACATGAAGGAAGAATAGCTTTAAGGCAACAAATGTAACTAAAACCATACCATCCTTAAGACATTACTAAAGGTCTCTAACAAGTGACCAGGAACAAAACTGTAGCTCTCCAAAGTGCTCGAATCTTGCAACATTGGATAAAGACCTGAAGAAACCTTATTGTTACAGCATCCTAAGTGTATTTGATGTGGGATAAGCTTGTTGCTTCAAATTGGATCTACTTGCTTTCATTCTGATAGACTAACCTTTCTGGTAAGGCAATTTGTTAGATTTCCTAAGCTCAAGATGAACCCTATTACAGCGTACCTTCCAAAGTTTTGACACACACCTTTCCCTCAGAGAGCAACCAACAAGTTGGTTAGAAATGCATGGAGGAGGTGTCAGCTTGTGCCCTTCCCCACTACTAAGTATATAAGCGGGAAACAGTCTTATTTACTTGTTGATCTACATGGTGATCTTTCTGGAGAATGGAAAGAACTCTGTAAGGTGAAGCATCAAGAAAGTTGCTCAGAGAAAGAAAAGTCTTATCTTACTTTCCAGGCTCCCACTTCCAGAAATTCCTGGCAAAAATAAATAAAATTATTCAAGCCTGCTTTCCTCTTCTGCTGTTTTCCACTTGCACAAACCTGAAAGTACGCCGTAAGTGTATCCTTACTATGGCAGTTAGAAGGAGCAATGAATTGGAAACTGCTGCAGCTGTGGGTCTTTTCTCTCAATCCATGAGCTCACTAGTAATATATGAATTGTTGGGAGCCTGGCAAAAAGCACACGGAGGTGACAGGACAAGAAGGACCTCTTCTGAGCCCTAACTGCACTGGAAAGCATAGCCAGAAAATATTTTGATAATTTATTTATAACTATTGCTAGCAGTTATTTTAATTAATTTGTGTAAATGGCTGTGTTTGTCATTACATAAAAACAGAAGAAAAAGAAGGATGCAGAAGTCCATCTGTTATGAGGCTAAAGGAGTGGCTTTTTATATTACATATTTCAGTGATCTAAAAGGAAATATATTCTGATTCTATTTAATTTATGTGAGACAAATATGTGTCTTACAAACAGGTTATCTATTATATGTCATTAACATTAATGTTATTATTTACACTGAAGATTTCTATCAGTGCAATAATGTTGACATAGCATTGAGGCAGAAGCTGTGTGGTGTAGATGAGGCCTAACTCATGACTGACTTTAAATCATCTTGTTTTGACCTCTAGCTACATCACTTTTGTTTTGACAGAGTTTTTCAGTAAATAAAGCACAAGAAAATTCTAAGTGCATGCAGTGTTTTTGAGGACATCACACCAGATACAACACTGCCAATCTCATGTTTCCAGTACAGTGGGCTAATGGAAATAGGTCTTCCCCTCTACACCACAGCAGTTCAGCATTCTCCTAAGACATTTTCCTATGAATTCTGAGCTTAAGAAAATTCCATATTTTATTGCCAATATTTCAGTTCCCATGCACAGAGTTAGCAGTGTTAAAATGTTTTTTTCCTTACAAAGATTATTACAGGACCTTTTGTTTAAAAGAGAATGTTTAAAAACTTTTTAAAATCCTGACTGCTGCTGCTGCCAAGCTCAGTTACAGGAAACTTCACTCCACTTTTGACCTTGCCAAACCAATATTTAACCCTTAATGAACTCTGTGTATTTCACTTGATTATCACTTAAGACTTATGGAATTCAACAGCCTTAAGAATTCAATAGCTTTATGCCGACATTGCATAGCGATCACGAAGTATCTGTTTAGATACTTGTATCTGGTACCTGGTTAGAACTAATGCTACTGAGAAAGAAGGGGGGAGAGGATGAGACTCAGTGCTTACTTCCCACTGTTTTGTAGTGCAGATTCAACTATAAACCTACTTGAAGTGGGCTAGTATAGCTTAGAGGTGCTTACCTAATGTCCCAGTGTGGAAAGCAGCTGTAGTCCCCTAGTGCTCCCTCTAGAAACTCTGATACAAGAAACTGAACGAAAAGGACATGTGATGCCATTGTAGAAAGTGGCATCATCTTGTTTGTACAGCTGTTATATTGCAATCAGCTCCAAAATTCCACCAACTAGAGTCTCCCAAAATGCTCATCAGTGACATAAGCTTTAAGCAGCCAACAAAATAAAGCCAATGGTTTATGTTTGTCTGTTCCTTCTTCATCTTATCCAAACTGTGTACCTCACTGGATAAGGGACCAAATGCAGCTGCACTAAGACTAGCAAAAAGGCTGTTTTCCTTTCTGATTATTGAATGGTACAGGCTGCATTATTAAGATATTTCTGTTTTCTCTATTTCTTCTTTTTTTTTCTCCCCCACTGCAGAAATCCCTGGTGTTGTTCACAGCCAGTGATAGTAAACTGGACTACATGGACAACAGAAATCTTGCAGGAGTGGGACAGCTTCTTGTTTCCCACCACTCACAGAAGACTTATAAGGTATGGGAAGATAAACGGAACAGAAAGCGTTATGAATACAGGAGAGAAGAACGTTACAAAATACTTACTAGAAGATTTATTTAAGACCTGTTCAAAAAGAAGCTGTAAAATGAACTTTAATCTTTCCATACCATTCCCTTCACAGATAGAAGCCCTAGCATTTAAACAGAAGTTTGAATAGTAAACATTAGGTTTTTGCTTCTATCTGTTTAATCATTAGTAAAACACGTCAGAAACTTGCTTACTCTGAGCTGCAATGCAGAGTGTTATTTCTGCACTATGCTCAAAGACTGCAGTGTCACAGAGCTAAGCCTTGATTTTTGTGTCTATTTCTGAGAACCAAGTAGTTTTTACCTAGGCCGCTAAGTCTGAACTTATCAAGAGTTAGGGCTGCCTGCCTGTGCTCCGCAATAATAACGCCAATTTCCTGAGACCATGACCTACTGAGTACTTTTCTTCTCAGCGAACTAACCGGTACTAGAAAGCACACTTTCCCCTGAGATGCAAACCCGCGCTTTCGGCCGCCAGCAGCTTCGGAGCCGCCACCGGCCCCGAGCTACAGCTCAGCTG